CTCTTGGGCTTTTCACAGCCTCACGGAGAAGGAGCCCTGGTGCCACTGGGAAACAGGGGCTCAATCCAGCTGCAATTCCCTGGACATTCAGAGCACAAATCTGAGTACTCTTGAGCAAAGTCAACCCTGTACACAGGGCTGTGTGCTGGTATGGACCACCATCAGTGAACATGGGGTAGCAGCAGAAAGAGGAGTAATCCTTTACTTGTGTTTTAAGTGGGCATTTCAAGTCAAATTATTTTTTTTATGTAGATAAATAATGTTAATTTTTGGAACTTATTTTTTTAATAGATAAATAATGTTAATTTTGGGACTGATTCTAATGCTTAGACTGGCTTGAACTTTGTATGGTAATTTAGACTAAAATAATTGTATTATTAATCTTCCCATTATTTGGGATAATCAGGAGTTGATATGAAATAAAGGAAAAACAAGTATATGATAAGTCCTATTGCTCCTAGACCATTTGAGTGTCTTTGTTCTGTTACCAGCTCCAGGAGCGGTAGTTAGCCTAGCCACGTTTCAGTGCGGTGGTTGTGTCTGAGATAATCCAGCATGTTTCCAGCAGAGCTGGTGCTAGCCATGAACCACGAAAACTTGTAAATCTAAACCGGTGTCTGGAGCTGTGTTGCAGAAGCCGCAATAATTCAGCCTTCAGAAGTGAGGGTTGATTAGAAAACAATTTACCCACTGCTGCATCCAAATGAGAAACCAGTTAGGAACTTAAGAAACAAAATTCCTTCATGTCTACGAATAAAAATGGATGGGAAAGGAGGATATGTGCTGTTTCTAATATCTTTAACATAAGGACCAGAAATAACTAGTTCAATTTGCTGTTTAATAAAACACTGGGTTTTCAGTGCAAAAAATATTGTAAAAAAGAATTACGTAGTAAAAAGAGAATCCAGCAATATTGGTTTTATTTAATCTCATTTTAACTAAATTCCAGGTTCTATCCAAATATGATAGAAAATTAGCAAAACCATTCACCTACTAAGTAGCAAATATATCATTCATCCCTTTCGGTATTAAAATATAAAAGTTAAAAATCTGAGTAAGTATATATAAACTATATAATTGCTTAAATAAATTTATAAAAATAGGTGTATTATATAAATTCATAAATACAATTCATTAGCAGAGAGAGAAGTACAAAATCAGTCTACTGACAATCAAATTTTCTTTTGAAAAATAATTGCGAGATAAAAATATAAATAACATTAAAATTACTGAAATCATGCTTTCCTGTTTGCTTATTTGTATGTAATGATTGGTTAATTAAATCACCCTGACTAACATTAGTCCATCTTTTTTAAACACTGTTGCAAATAAAACAGTATAAATAGTTTTATAATAAATACGATCAATAACTTAAGACATTAATCCTTTAAATATTAAATTAAACTAGATTATATAGTTATAATATATAGAATAACAAGTACATTATCAGTGTTGTTCCTGGCATCAAACTGATCACATAACTACTGATAGGTCACATTTAACTCTAGTATCTTAAAGTTATTTTTTCATCCTGGCATATTACATTTCTGCTGAAGAGTACATGTTTTGGTTTTTTGCATCAATTGTTCATATTTCTGTAAAACCTGCCAGATGTACGTCTTCTTCTCTGCCGTTGTCATCCTCTGGACCTGGCTACAATCCATCTGCGGAAGGTCCTCGTTCTTGCAGGTGTAAAACATAGCTCGTTCACTCAATGTCACATTTAGCTGATTGATATTTGCATCGACAGATTTAGTTAAATTCTTACCACAGATTGATTCTATATCGTTTCTCAGGTTTTGCAAAACATTGTAAAAAATGTGGAAAATGCAGCAATTTTCATGAAAAGCTGGGCATTCAGGTATTTTCTTCACCATGTCTTTGGCTCGGGGGTCAGCAGTTAGCCAGCTCTCAGTTTTGGGCGTTACAGAGCTACACATGTTCTGTAGGGGAGGAAGAGGAGAGAGAAATTATTAATCTTTTGTTTTACATCTTTCCTGGTAGTCGCTTCATGTTTGAATGTCTAGGCGCATACACACCTATCTTTCAGTTTGTGTATGCTTGGGGTTTTTTTGTTGTTGTTCAATAGCTGTATTAACACCTACGCTCCGTTTATCGAGTAGGTATTGCACACTATCTGTGGCTATGATTGTGCAGTACTTTCTGTCTTAATAGCCTGCTTGGCTTTGTTTTCAGCTTTTCTAAGTCGTCTTTTTTTTTTCTTTGCCATATGGGCAAAATTGACTCATGCAAGAGATTTGCTTTGACCTAAGCATATTTTCATCTGTTTCAGCAGAGGTGGTTTTGATTTCAAGAATGAATTCAGGGGAAATGTTTACCTTGATTTTTATCAACGTACTCCTGGGAACACGTCCCCAGGAATTGAAATTTGTCTGAAATATTGACACTTAGGTTCAGTGCACATTTTACCGTCTCCAAGGAACAGACGGGCTGAGCAGGATTTTCAGCAGAAGTGCTCTAGTACTAGGATCAGACTGAAGAGCAAGGCAATTCTCTCCATGTTTCCAGTGATCTGACCAGTTTCATCCAAAAAGATGCCTGATTCAAGCCTAGCATGACTCAGGAGACCAAGAAAGGCAATGCATTTAGTCTGGAAGATCACAGCTAGCAGTTAGCTGAGGCGAAGTTGCCCAAACTTTCCCCAGCTGTCCTAGACATCGCTCCAACTCTGCCCTAAAATAATGCAATGTAAATGCTTTTCTTCTTGTATGGAATACAGAGAAGAGACTATTTTAGATTCTAACCCAAATATTTCTTTTCTGATGGACTTTCTAGTGTTTTATAATAATTCAAGAGATTTCGCCACAGACATAGACACAGCAAATGCAAAATAGCACACTTACGTAGCTTTTAAACAATTCAGTCGCTTGCATTTCTATCACTGATGCTAAGGTCTTTATTCTGGTAGTAAAATGCTTCTGTGTCTGTCCTGTAGTAGATTTGCTTTCTTTTGGGGTGGCCGTTGGTGCCAAGGAGCCCAAAGGAACCAGTGAACAGAAGAGGAAGATTGCAAACCTGTTGTTCTCTGCATTCAAATGAAGAGGGGAAAGAAAAAAAGAAAAAGAATACAATACGATGATTAGTCTAAGCCTCTACATCATTTTTGCAAAACTTCCTGGTTTTGTGCAGCGTGCTAAATTTCTAAAGCATATAGATATTAAGTGGCTGAGCTAGCAATGAACATCAACCAATGCAACCTTACAACGTGTAGCAAGGTTAAGTCACACCCACCTGCTCGGCGTTTCATGGCGGGCTTGCAGAGTAACTGACTTGGCCGAAAGCTAGCTGGATGTTGGTGTTCAAGCTGCTCTTTGCCTGGAGTACTGTAGATGTGGACAGCCAAGCTGCATTTAAGTACTGTGGAGTTTTGCGTCACTGGCTCCTCCATGGGTTTTTTTTTGCGGATGATAGTTTGGGGTTTTTTCTTTTTTGAAAGATTACATCAAAAGTTGGTTCAAATGCGTCTTCACTGATTGTGATCTAGATGCAGTTTCAGACTGACACAGATGGTGTCCCGTATCATCTATTTGACTAGGAGTTCAGGATGCTTGGCTTAGACATCCCATCTAAATCCTTGGGCTCTCCAAAATGCAGGATTTAGAACATAAACTCTTGGGTTTTTTAAAAACGTGGTTGGAGCATGCAAGCACATCGTTGGTGCCCAAAGCCAGCAACCTTCTCCTGCAGGGTCCATGTAAGAGTGGGCTAACTCTGGCAGTGAAAAAGCCAGGGGGGCTTGTGTGCAAGCCAGGTCAGGCCTTCAGGTCAACATATATATCCTTCTGCTGGATGTCTGTAAGACCCTGTCCCCAAGGTGTGACCCCCTCACATAACCCAGCAGAGGATGTCCAGGATCCCACCTCCCCATCTCTGTCACCCTTCTCTCTATCTCCCCTAAGGCTATTTTCCATTTCCAGTAACTAAATGCAGAAAATTCTCATACATGCCAAAACAGAAAAATTGTTTCTAGGATTTACAAGTATGAGGCTGTGATCAGAAGAGGACCTGCAGAACTACTGATAGTTTAGGACAGAAAGGAGGGCAGAGGAAACCCCTACGAGCATACCTTTGAGAAAACGCAAAGTAGCACATACACACTTGTGCTTCCCGCCTCTGTGATAAAAGATATGCCTGAAAGGTAGTGATAGATTGAAAGATGAACGTTTGTCAAGTCACCAGAAAACTTTCAAGGAACAACAGCTTGGTGTCAAAATAATCAGTTCTCTTTTCCACATGAAATAATCTGTCTCTGAAAATAAAAAGCTTGGTGTGCGCATGAACTCCTCTCAAGTGCCTGGGACTGGTACAAGGATTATTCTCCGGGCTGAACTGATTCCCAGGGATTGAAACGGGAACGGACATTTCCCCTGTATCACGTGGCACTCAGGTCCACCAGCCTGTAACTTCAGGCCTCAGTTGTTTGCTTGAAGCCACAATAATGGAGATTCACAAACTGAACGTAGTTCTGCCATGTGCTGCGAGGGAGCCCTGGGCAGCCAAGCAGAGGGATGCAGCCATCCCATGGGGATGCATTTCTTCTTGCATGACCCATGTTCCCAGGTGCTAGATAATGCAAAGAAAGAGAGTGAGTTATCATGGCCTAGGGCATGAGGCAGCAGACAGTAGTACAGCAGAGTGCTGGAGAAGAACCAGAAAAGGACAGTTCTGGCAGACACTTTTTTTATTTGAAGTTTTGATCATTATTTGGGGGTAAAATGGAGAGAGAGAGAGAGAGATGTTTCTTTGTGCAGGGTGTTCTTGAGGAACATCCCTATAAAGACAATGATGGGTACAGGTGGCTCCTTTCAGGTAGAAGGGTGATCTTGGAGGGTTGCTTGTTTGGAAGCACCAAAAAAGCAGAGAGATGCATCTGGTTAGTGCCCCACAGTGCGTTGCAAGATGTATGGAAGGTGCATAAGCTTGCACATACAAGACACCATTGGGCATCGGGCACTGCAAGTCCCTTCCAGCTGTCCCAGATGGGTACGGCTGGGGAGGACAGACAAGGAATTGCAGCCGGTCTTCCTCCGAGAGCAGGGAACATCTCTTTGTGCAGCACCAATGGCAATGGGGCCCAGTTATTTGTAACAGTGATACAAGTAAGAGAAGCAGCATTCATACAGCTTGGCTTTTCCACGAAATATGATTCAACCACTGGTAGTGCTTTTTCAAAGATTTTAGAAGATTTGACTTCATTTTCTACTGAGCTGAGGATAGCAGTTTGCCTGCTGGTTATTCCACTCCATGGCATGCCACTATCTCTCAGTGTATGCATGCTCTGCACATCCTTTCCTATCTGTACGCAGCTGTGATAAGCTGCTGAGCTGATAAGGGAGCAGATCGGCATCTGTCCTGTAAAACCCAACCCGAGTGGAAGTTCAGCTTTCCACCACGTAACCGCCAGATGCCGCAGAGCATCTACAATTCATTTGGTGAAGTTTTGCTGACACAGGCTGCTCTATAGGCTCCCTAAAAAGGAATTTGTAGCTGTTGCCTCAACACCTATCGCTGGAAAAAGCAAATAAACCTCAGAGCGCAGAGACCTGAATCTGACCTGAGGCAGAGCTGCGGCTTTTGTTCCTGGGGTTCGTCTACTTTTTCCAAGTGTAGGAGACGGTATTTTTAGCTGTGAACTTTGTTTTCTGATGGCCTTGCGCTGCTGTGGTGGCGGTGCCCTCCACGCAAGTGAACAGCAGTGCTTTAACAACTAACTGAGAACCTGACTGCTTCCTCCCTGAAACTTGAGTGACACCCAGGATGTAGATAAGTGAAATGGCAAATGCCATGCCACAGGTCCTTGGCCAGGGGACAGGGCTGATGCTGCACCCTGCAAATGCTACCTGAGGCTGCCCACTCTTT